TTCCTGCCTACACAGGCTGATTTACACATAGATCGTTTTAGTATGTTAGGGTAAGGCTTATTTTTATTCTAAAGTACTTCTAAGAGTTACCAATGATTAATAGTAAGTAAAGAAAAAGAATTAAAGGAGAATAATTCTAAAGGTGACAGCATCTGTAATTTAAAAAAAAGAATCCACCCAAACTGTTCAGCGTTACTTTTTGTATCTATAAAATCAGCACTGCCTCGCTGCTGCCCAGAGCTTTGTGACTGCAGATGTGGAGATGTTTCACAGCTGGCACACCTTGTTCATGTCTGTGTTTTATAACATAGGTAACAGATTATTTCTGTCAGAGGTCGTAACTCAAGGCATTTTAAGAGTATTTAACTTTCTGTGTCTGATGCAAATATCCAATACTGATATATCCAATATATCTATTGCACGAGCGACGTTTTACTTATTTTTTGAGTCTGTGCACTGTGCAGTTGATGTTAACGTGGTTCCCCTCCTGTACTCACAAAGGCGCGGTGGTACAAAAAACTGCTTGGAGTGGCTTGGGTATCTTCCTTTCGCATAGACACAGCGTGGGCACCGTGCATCGAGCTTTTGACCATGCCAAAATGTATAGGGATGCTTCCAGCGTGCTCTTGAGCTGTGTTCTCAGCCACGTATACTTTGAACTCCCAGGTTTGTTGTACTACGCTGGCCATGGCTACGAAAACTACGGAAACAGCTTCATGGTTCCTATCGATGCTCCGAATCCGTACCGCTCTGCAAACTGCCTGTGTGTGCAGAACATCCTCAAACGCATGCAGGAGAAAGAGACGGGACTCAACGTATTCCTGCTGGATATGTGTCGGAAAAGGTACGGTCTCGTAACTGGTGAACTGGACACCTGACGTGAGGTGTCTGAGGGATGTTTTTGCCTCACGCTAGGGGAGAGGATGTAATGACTGTACTTTTGGGAGCCAACGGTGAAGTTCGGTTTATTCACTGCAGCAACAGATGAAAACTGAGCCTGTTTTACAAATGATCAAATAAAACTGAACAGCCACTTTGAGAGAATAGCGAGGGATCTTGTGAGAGAGCTGGACTTACGCTGAGGATAACTCTGTAGTCTGGGCTGAGAATTCACTGTGCTTGAAAGTTCATGGGTCTGAGAATCCACAGCCTGCACCCGAGTGCTTTTAAAGCACTTGAAGCCCCCTTTTACTTTGCCTTTGCCCTTGGATGGAAATGTGAAGCTGGTGATCAGACTTTGTTCCCATGGGTAGATACTTGCCTCTTGAGTTGAATGGTATTTATTTATACTTTTTTATTGTTTAAAAGTTATAAAGCGTCAGTCTTATTAGATAGAAATAAAATTAGGCCTCTTAAAGAATAAAAATGACCCTTTCCCCGTGCACCAGTAACTGTCTTCAGAATCCATACAATCTAAGGCATGTTAATTTGACAGAAGGGCTTATTTTATGCCTCTTCAGAGGCATAGGATGTAGTATCTTTATTTAGAGCTGGTTTATCAGATTTTTCTAAACAAAGTACTATTTTCTTTCCACATCGCGACTACTATGCCCAAGTAAACTTGTGCTGAAAGCTAGCTCTTCAGTCAGCTCTTCTCAAAACTGGTCTCCAAGGGATGTTTCCTAACAGAAAATCGCTGGTGCCTGCAGAGCCTCTGAACTTGGCTGCTGCTGAACGGCCGGTTCAGCTGCACAATGTGCTGTCCAAACAGAAAGTGCTGCACACGAGCCTCATGTTAACTGTGCAGACACCGTGCTGGGGGTGTATATTCATACAGCTTTAGTTATAACTTGCCATTTCAGGTTATCAGGAATCACTTTGGAAGAGATTGTAGCCAGACTGTGTTGGTGAACGCAGCGTGCCCTCGTCTGGGTAACGCGCGGTCTGGCTCTGTTCTTGCACTGCCGTCACGAAGGGCGGTGACCATGCTGAGCGTTGTCTTGTGGCAGCCAGGGATCACTCCAGGGTTGCAGGAGAGACAAAAATTACTGTTTCTGAACTATGGTGTTTCAGTATTTTGAACAACTGTAGAGTTTGTTACCATTCTTAGCTGTCAGATTATTATTTTCATTTTTTGCGTTTCCATTTATTGCAGGAATGAGTACGATGACACAATTCTTATCTTAGATGCTCTGAAGGTCACAGCCAACATTGTTTTTGGATATGCCACGTAAGGAAACTTTTATCCTGCGATGCCGCAGAGGTTTTGAAGCCAGAAGTGACCACTGAGATTGTAGAGCTAATCTTTTACAGCAAAAATGCTAACTGGTGGTAAAGGACCAGAAATTTATATCCCTGTCTGTGTCCTCATACTGTCTTTATTTCATTCTTTCAATCATTCCAGAGCCTGACTGACTGGAAATGCTTTCGTAATGATTCCCAGTATCTGACATTCCCATTCAGATACAGGGTAACTCCATGAGAGCTGTGTTCACCAAACCAGACACTGCTGGGCAGCGTTCCTGACCTTTTTTAGTGATTACTTGTAGGAGTGCTCTGCTCATCTAAGTAATAATAATTACAGAATTAAAAAATGCAGAGAAGAAAAACCAGATTTTACCCTCAGACCCATAACGTCCTGGTCTGCGGCTTGACTGTAAGGGAAATCTTCCCAGGATGAGCTGCTTGCAAATACACGTGAGGAGCCTGAGACACAACCTGGTTTTCAAACTGTAGGGTTTCTTTCCCCATTCCCAACATAACTTTACTCCTCTTGTCCTCACATTGATCTGAACCGTGCAGATGTTTCGGTGTTTCTTCCTTGTCTGATGCTGGTGATCCCGTAGGTGCCAAGGAGCAGAAGCTTTTGAAATCCAGCAGTCGGGGCTGGCCAATGGCATCTTCATGAAGTTCCTGAAGGGCCGCTTGCTGGAGGACAAGAAGATCACTGTGCTGCTCGACAGGGTTGCAGAAGGTGAGCTCCAGATCACTGCCCCGAGCCTGCTCAGCCCGCGTTACTGAAAGCTTCACTGCTTCAACCTCGCCTTTCTCACGGCAGATGTGTTACGCTGCGTCAGCTCGCTCTTGCTGCATTTGTTGAAATAGCAGCTTTTATCAGCAAGCAGGTGCTGCTGGGCAGCACATCAACAAATGTCATTATATTGTTAAGGGATTTGAGCTTTTTTAATAGTGATTGATTTTAAACTCTCCTTTGGAGTGAACCTTACTGGTTCATTATTTGTCTTCTGTAATTGATGGGAGAAGTGCTGAAGTGAAAACAGTTGAGGGGAAAATGCATTGCTTCTGTGCAAACATTTGCTCAAAACATAGAAGAACAGATACGGCCATTAACTAAGAGCTATCTGTGTAAGATGCAGTGATGTACTTAATTTAGTTAGAGTTTGAACAGTGTTGATTTGAAGAGAAACTGCATGCATCTTATTTCTAGATATGGGCAAGTGTCACCTGACCAAAGGCAAGCAAGCTCTGGAGATCCGCAGCAGTTTGTCAGAGAAAAGGGCCCTGACTGACCCCATCCACCAAACCCCCTCCTCTGCAGAGGCTCTGGCGCGGAACCTGCAGTGGGCCAAGGCGCATGGTACGGCACGCGCTGCTTCCCGGTGATCCTGCGGGCGCGGGGGCAGAGGACAGGGTGGGCGTCCTTAATAACCTCTGCTCTGTGCGTTGTGATACTGAACGGAAATGGAATAATACAAGTTCCTATGTGAATTTTCAACAGTATGTTCAGACGTTGGAGATTTCTGCATTGGGGTTTACCTACATGAGATTGTAATGACCGAGGTGACATGCAGAATTCGTCCTCAGTGAGCACATCTGAGACCACTCAGAACACTGACGGGGAGACTTTTGCACCATGTCTGCTTCCTGGGATCATCTCCCAGTAATCTGTCTGTGTCTCACACTTTAAGACATCATTAACCTCATTCTAAAGCCTTCACCTAAAATAGCCAGGTGAACTCTGCTACAAGTACGTGATGAAAATAAGTTTTCAGTGTATGTAACTAAGAAAACTAAAACCCAGCTTCTCACCCGGTTTGCTTCAGCGTAAACCAAGCGATCGGGAGGGCAGGAGGAAGAGACCGTACCTTGTAAAACTTTTGAGTTTAAAAACAACATTTAAAAACCAGAAAACATATATGCTAAGTTTTCTCTAGAATGTAATGATGTGTTACTTATTTGCAGAGCTTCCAGAAAGCATGTACCTGGAATTCAGATGTGGTGTGCAGATTCAGCTGGGGTTTGCAGCCGAGTTTTCCAACGTCATGATAATCTACACGCGAATCGTAAAGCAGCCACCTGAAATAGTAGTTTGCAGAGCTTACGTTACAGACTTCGCACTCGTAAGTGCTTCCTTGCATGTGGATGCTTGCATGTGTTTGTCTGTACAGACACACACGTTTACTTCTTTTTTTTAAATGCCTATTTTTAGTATATATAAAAATACTTTAATCTGGGGTGATCTTTTCCAGCTTCCTTTGTTTTACATTGTCTAGTATGAAGTGTTTGCTGTATTTAATTAAAGAAGGTAAATGCCAGCAGCTCCTGTGCGAGCTGAGGACACGTCTGCCTGGCAGGACAAGGCTTCTCGGGCTTTAGTCTTACAGTTCTGTGCACCTGGGCCATCCTGTCCGGGTCCACTGATGTTCCTCAGCTGATCACGGTGGTGTGAAGGATACGAGCACAACAGAAAGCGCCTCAGGATAGAAAAACTTCTTTTCTGATGTCTACGAAAGAGGACAGAGAACAGAAAACTTTTTTAGATAGAACAGACAGGACACTTCCAATGCTTTATGAATAAAATATTTGAGTTAAAGTGCGTAATCCAAACATGTATCTTTAGCCCACAGAATTGGTGTTGTAGTACTGTGCTTCATAGTAGCAGTTAGGTAAAAAGAGCGACCCTGAAGCAAATACAGCAAGTTTGAAACCTCCCCAAATGACACCCCTTCTGCCTGTGGTTTCAGCAGCTTTTGCAAGTAATCCAAGATCGGTTCCTCTTTCCTCTTAATAAGAAGAAAATGCTGACTTTATGAAAAGAAATACTGCTAATGATTTTATGATCTACAAATTCTGTACCTTAAGTTCTTATTCCTTTCAACAGGACCTGGATGTGGATCCTAAAGAGGCCAACAAAGGAACCCCTGAGGAAACGGGAAGCTATTTAGTGTCAAAGGACCTTCCCAAACACTGCCTCTACACCAGGCTGAGTTCACTGCAGAAACTAAGGGTCAGTACATATTATTCTTCTTCACAAGTTTGTTCAGATAGTTTAATCACATTGCTTTGCAGCTCTGTCGAGGTAGCTGTGTGGTGTCTGTTTAATAAGTAACATATTCTTTGGAGGGAAAAAATGGCCGATAGCACAATTTAGTGACTTAAGTTGTTTATGTGGGGAGGAAGTGTAACTTTTTTTTCTTGCCCCCCTTTCCTTTTTGCAGGAACACTTGATCTTCACTGTCTGCTTGCACTACGAGTATCCTGGAATAGAAGATACAATGGATGAAAGAAAGGAAGTTAATGTTGGGAAGCCCCTCATTGCTAAATTAGGGCTTCATCATGGGCTCAAACCCAGTAACTGTCTCCAGACCTGTTGCGTGGCTAACAATCCTTTTCATCATCAAACAGAATCAAGTCCAGTGGCAACCAAGTACTACGTCCCTAGTCACTGCCAGCCAAATTCCTGTCCAGGCGCCTACCACCCAAGCCCTGTTTGCTCGGACAGCATCAGGCACCCAGAGGCGTGTTCTTGCAATGGGACCTCAAGGGTATTCACCTCGAGACACGAAGTGGGGAATTTCTCGGCCCCTGTGGAAAGCGGTAACGTCCCTGTGGAGACCACCGACGACACGGCAGAGCTGGAGAGCCTGCTGTCAGACAGCCTCAGGCTCTGCGGGCCGCAGCAGCCCTGATGTGTTAGCACAGACCAGGCCGTCACCGGGGTGCGGATGCTGCCTGTCCGGCTGCAGTTCAGGACAAAGGCACAGAAGAGCCTAGGGGTGAGGTTACAATGACCATTTCTCAGAGACAACTCTGGACTGATGAATTTAGGAATGAAAAAGGCACGATTTTTATGTTTTCTCCCACCATCTGAGGTTTGGTACAGGGAAACACCTGAGCTCCCCGGTTTCCTGTTCCGTTCCCTGGCCGTCAGCAGCTGAGCTGGGGCAGTGGTGCATTTCTGGGAGAAAGCTGCCTACCTCTGCTGGATCCTCCCAGCTGCCTCTCCAGTGCCCGCTGGAGTTCATTTACTGTGAATGTACGTTTCATAAATCTTGTCTTAGAGGGGAATTGCTCATCCTATACAAAACCAAGAGAAACATCGATGGCTGTAAGCGGAAAAAATACTGACAGAATTAAGCAGGAAAATTAATTTACATGTCCTCCACGATTTAACCTGATTTTTAAAAATCCATTAGCCCCAAAATGACAAGTGTACCTTTCTCTCTTCCCCCTTTCAGTTTCAGTTGTTCAATATGCAGGGATTTCTTTTTACATACTGTGTTTATTTATGTTGTAACAGCCTCCTGTAGAGTACATGACACGTAATGTAAATGAACTGAGCAAGAAGTGAGGATATTGTTTTAATATTCCAGTGTTAAGAGTATGTCTTCTTGGAGCCTCAGTTCCTTTCCTTCCTCATGTATGTACTGGGATCAGTTGCTGACATTCCAGTCACTTTTTTAATTGCCTTTTTATTTTTTAAGATAACTATATTACAAATCATCAGAGGGAGCAAAGTCACAGGTTCATACTGCAGTGGACTGTTCTTAGGATAATCCTATGTAATCCTTCAGCCTTTTGCTGATCTGATTTCAGCAAAGGTGGTATTTTCCTGTTCTGGAATAACACTAAATGGAGATGCGACGATTGTTCATAGCAAGTAAGGTATTGTACAGTCAGTCACGCAGTGAGACGTGCTGGGGCTAAAAATGAATGGGCAAGAGGAGTGAAAACTCTGGGGTTCCTCAGGCCAAGCACAGGGACGGCCCTTGCTTTTCCATGGCGATTTACAACAAACAAACCCCACTTAGTTGTTTTCCAGGGCAAATCAATTTATATTGATTAAAATAAAAATGCTAAAAGTCTACCGTCAAACTGTGCAAGGATAAAGCAGCCTTAAATGCAGCCTGCCACAGGTGAGGGACACTTGCTCCGTGTCCCGGCCGCCCCTTCGCGTGGAGCTGCGCAGGAGCGTGTTTGCTGAGAGGTGCAGCTGCTCTGGCAGAGGGGGCTGAGCTGGCCCAGCCTCGGCCCTGCACCCGGCTCCTGCAGGGGGGCCTGGGCAGCTCCAGGGGATGCTGGGCCTGACAGAGCCGCGCGAGCACCTTCGCGTGGACCCGGCTTGGGCGGGCTGTCCCATGCTGCGGGAAAGGGCAGCTCTGCTCGCCAAACTGCTCTGCGTGATCAGGTTGAACAGTCTGGTCAAAAAAGACACATTAATTTTCTTAATGTTTGGTTTTGCTTCACAATACTGAACAATCTGACTTGCCTGTGTGTACGAGGATGAATGTGAGAACGCTGGTGTTTTATTAGGCCTTAAAAAGTCTGGGTGCTTTGAAAGCATGAAAATATCAGGGTGCAAGGTAATCAGAATACGGGTAACAGGCTTCCCTGCCCAGATAATGCTGGTAAACAGTATTGCTTTAATTAAGATCCTCATCATGAAATAATTTTTTACTTCAGAAAAATATCGTAGGGCTTTTCACTAAGTAGGCAGCAAAAAATGAAGTGCCTGACTCTCATTCCCACGGTGGACAAAGCAGTTTAACTGCGGAGATCTTCAGTCCCACAGCATGGGCTGGAAGCCCGGGGCGGGGGTGCTGTGTGTGGGCATTGCTGTTCCCATCTGAAATGTGTAATGCACCATTAGCTACATCTGTTGATCTCCAAATTCATCTGTGCTGAAGGGTGGATCTGTGTACATGGGTTTAAATGCGCTCATTTCCAGCATGACAGCCACGCTTGAAGAAATCTGCAAATGATCCTGAGTTTCTGACTGTCTCCTTTGGAGGGTATTAAATAGTGAAATATTTATTGATGAATGAGATGCACCTGTGCATTAATTATCCTGTTTAATTGACTTATAAATCAAGAATTATAGCTTGACACGTGGTCTAGTACTGTAATATTTAGCTGATACTTTTTCACAGTTTTATAATTGGTAGGAAAGTTTATTGTTTCTCACTGTGTAATAAACCTGTCACAGAACGATGTACCTGTGCATATGTGATTGCTGCGTTCTTCTATTCCTCCCAGTGTAAAAAACCCAAACTCTATTAAAACAATGCATGTAGAAAATAGTTTCCTTAACAAAAAAGCAGCTCTGCACCGTGAGCTGCAGCTCAAGTTGAGCATCGTCAACGACTCTTCCCCATTCTGCCAGCCAATTAATGGCTTTGGCAGCTCTGGCCTGCACCAGGCCCCAGGGCTGTGTCCATCTGGGCAGGCTCCCAACTCCTCTAAGTGCTGCGGGCCAGGGTGACTCCGTCCTTGCACAGAACTGTAGCTCAGACAGAGGAAGAGCTGCTCGCTTTTTGAGCTGTGGCATTCTGAGAGCCAGGCTGTTTGCTGTGAACTGGCGATGGGTTTAGGGTATCAGGTGTGGAAGAAGAATTGGGAATTTGGGGTGTTTGGGGTTTTCTTTTTAGAGTCCGATCATCCTTTTAGTTTAGTAAATGCAGTAGTCCAGGAAAGGAGTAAGAACACTTCCACTTCGTGGGAATTGAGCAGTTATTTAATTTCTAAGGTAGCACTGCTGCAATTTAGTCATACCAAGCCTATTTTAAGAGCTAATCAGAATAAATGCTGTCTCCCGTCCCTGTTGCCATGCAGAGCGAGCAGCAGGCCAGGATCCGTGTGGGTGTGTGCTGCCACAGCAACCAGCCTCTGCTGCCGCATCTGCAGCGGGCGCAGGGGCAGGGACGGGGCCGTCCCCGCCGTCTGCTGGCACCCTGCTCTCTGCCAAAGCCCACTGCAATCGGTATGGAAAGTCTGCAACCTCTTGTGCAAATGACCTCTCTGCGCTGAGATCAAACAGATCCCGGCTGGTTCCTGGGCCCTCTGATGCTGAACGTGGGGGTCAGGATTTCTGTCGCCTCTAAAGCAGCTCTGCACCCTGACGTGTGCTGGGCCAGGACAGCAGAGTCACCTCTGGGCACCTCTCCCCGCCCATCGCTGCCAGCAGCCCCAGAGCCCTGCCTGGCCTCTGCAGAGCCCACACGGCTCCCATTCCTTCCCCACTGCAGGGGCTGCTTGCCAGCGCTGCAGGTGTTTAAAGAATATGTAAAGCATCCCGGGACTCCTCTCTGTTCACATCGTGCCATCTTGGCACCTCTCAGCCCTTCTTTCCTTTCCCTCCTGTCGAACGGCCTCACTGAACCAACTGGGGATTGGGTCAGAAATTGTTAAGCACTGCTTTGAGATTGTCAGAATGTACCAAATTTGATAACTGCTTTGGCTGTAAGAAGCACTGCAGTCTTTCAAGGCAGTAGAGAGTGGCTATAAAATACCGATTTGCTGATTCTCAGAGTTTTGTAGGTTTGCTCTACGCCTGTCAGTGATACGCAGCAAACTGCTGCAGACTCCCTTTCAATGCTGCAGCTGCAAAGAAAACACTTTATTTGAAACACCCCTTAGATTACCAGCTCTGCTTTTAGTGGAAATAATGGGTTCATTTCAATCAAAACAGCTGTGCTTCCTGCCAAGTCATTCACCTGTCCTAGCAGCCAGAGAACCCTCGCTGTGTGCACGCCGCGTTGCAGGCACAGCCACGGGCTGCCGGTTAACGGGGGTTTTGCGGGACTGCATGGGAGGGAGGCTCCTGTTACCCATGGCAGGGGGAGACTCCCTGCTAATTCCTGTGCTGCTCCTCTGGCGCAGTCCTGGGTACAGCTCGGCAGCCCCCGCGCGTTCACGCACGCTTCCCTCTGGAGGGAACGTGGGAGCAAGCCGTTTGCTAGCAGGGCGCTGGCTGCGGCTGTTGGTGAGGCTGATCCTTCTTCCCCAGAGAGCAAAAAGACGTTTCTGGAGTGCGAATTCTGCTTCGATGCAGCAGCTTGTACTTCAGTGCTCATGCGAGAGCGTTATTACTACTAAAACACTCCCTGAAGTAATGCCAGTAAATCGGTCAGATTCAGACTGTGCTACTGAGGCTCACACTCGTCACTTTGCTGGCTCTGAAGTTATTTACAAGGAAAACAAGAGCTAGTACAAAAACCCGTTTAGAGAGAAGATTTTTATCAAAAAGACACTTCTGCCAAGAAACATTGGTATGACGAAAAATTGTCATTAATACCTACAACCCAAAAGCAAAGTTCTGGAAAGGGAGAGAAGAGAAGAGAAAGCCACTGCAGCTCTGGGAGGAGAGCTCCTGCCTGCAAGAGCCCGAGGCGCTCCCAGCGAGGCGGCCCTGGCCGGGTCTCGCCAGTGCCCGGGGTGCCCGGGCTGCGGCAGGGGCTGGGGTGGGACCTGACCCTGACCCGCTCACTGCTGTGTGCACTAACGACCCTGCGTGCGTGGCGTCCTTCGCTCTGTCTGGAGATGTGAAGTACAGGGATGCCTCTGCTCCCATCGTAACAAAAACTGTGAACCCGCAGCACCTCACAAGAGAGCTCTTGGGCTCTGGTCTGAGACGTCTGCAGCTCGACTCTGCTACAGCTTGTGTGCAGGGCCAGGAAACGGCGTGTTTTTGGAGAGCTGCTCAGTTCTGCATTGCCGGTTCCTGCTCCCAGTCATTTGAAGTGACTGACTGCTATTCCTAATTGACCTGTTTCCACAGCACAGGGTCCACAAGCAGCCTTCCAGCAGGCAGGCTGAAATAAAGAACGGCATCAAAAAGCATCTGCCCCCACTCAGCCCTGGGGCTCAGAGACCAGGAACGCTGAAAGTGGCCAGCATGAGGCAATTAATG